AAAATAATATTCTAGCCAGCTAGGCCTCAATATGCACCTTTACTAGGTCTTCTGAACACTAATTAGTTTCAGATGCCAGGGCAACAATCTCCAAAACACACTGAAGCACGTGTACGGAATGTATTAAAACTCTATTTGTAGTCAGTGATGTGAGAACTTTACAAAGCTGTTGAATAATTATGATTACTAATATCCCAATGAGGTTGAGCAGGTACAAAGACATCCACAGTCTTAAGACAGTTAATGACTTTTAAAAAATAATTTATTTTTGTATTTTCTTTCTGACTGGTCTTAAACCCAAGTAAGATTACTGTAATTAAAGAGACATCATTCGGTTTTTTCCTTTGTTTGTTTTGGTTTTCTTTAAGTTTGCCTGCTTGGGATGTTTGAGCCAATATTCCCAGTCTGAAACAAAGAATCACATCCAACAACAGGAGAAAATACTTTCAAAACTGATAAACACCAAAACGAGAGAAGCATTATACCCAAAGCTAATTCTGATTCTTTTATCAGAAGTATCATGGTTTAAACTCTTAATCAAATCCGCAGTCTTTGAAAATCAGTCAGAATTGTTCTATTTTTCTGCATCCCTAAAAAAGGCAGAGACAGGGAGGTTAGGGCTCCTTCACAGTAAGCACTGGACAACTCAAGACAAAGCAAGATTGTCTTGATTACAAGTTTACTACATGGATAAAGCAACCATGGGGAAAAGAAGCAGTCTCATTTTATGGACTAGGAATGGAAACAGTTGGAAGTGACTTCCTCAAGACTTTTGAAGCCCCACTGATGTTCTCACTTTGTGAGTAAAAATACATTGGCTATGCTCCAGCCCTTGCACCTTCATTACTGGGAAAAAACTTCGTCCAGAACTGACAACTCAGCTGTCTATCAGACTTGAGCTTCCACTGAAGTGCTCCTTTCCTCTTCCTCACCTTCACTGCATTAGAAAAAAAAAAAAAAATCACAAAAAAAAACACCAAAAAAACCCTGTGTTCAGGTTTGCACTGCACACACACACACTAGAGCATATATTTTCCTCTACCCGTATATGACAAGGTCCATGTCTAAAGAGGATAATTATTGTCAGTAAGTCCAATGACCATTGTAACTATACCAAAAGAGCATGATAGTACTTAAACTGAGGGAGGGATAAGATAAATAAAAAAATAAAGAAAAAGAAAAAATCATGCATGACTTACTTTTTCAGCAGGTAAGTTAATTACACATCACGTAGCACTAACAGAAACTTATGTTAAATATTTGTGAAACAAGAGCCTAAGGATTAGAACAGCTAAAATATTAGAACATTACCTATCCTTCTTACACCATCTGGAATAATTTTTGTGTTATTAATACAAATATATCAATATAATTCAAAAATAATTGGTGGGACAAGTACTCTAGGGATGTTCTCCAGCACGGTCTGGCCACAGAGTTACCAGCCTGCAACTTCCTCTTCACATGGCAAAGAAAGTGATTGTTATTAAAAGTGAATCAAGCCACACGGGCTGAAAACAAATGCCAAAATATTTAGCGTCACCTGCAAACCAGGATTCCCTTGGATAACGAGGGCAGATCATTTGCTCATACACATTCTTCAACATGTGTTTCACCCATGTATGTATTTACACACACTCGCACACAAACAGCTCAGCAGAGAGCATCCACAGCAGTGCATCCTGTGCCCTTTTCCTCCCTTATGTTGTGTGCAAGTGGCAACACAGGAAAGAATGCAGAACCATTCCTCCCAGTTCTTCTCATCACAAGAATTCAAGAAAAGCTCCTAACAGAAGTGTGAACAGAATCCCAGAGAGCAGACCTACTATTGGAACAGCACGCACAGACAATTCTCATTTTAGACCAAATAAACAGTTATCCAAAACTGGGGGTTCTTACCGTAATTCAAAGTCACTCTTTAACAAAGACCACTATTTAGAGGGAAATTCTGTGACAGTACGGACAGTCACTTTGGCTCCTTAGGCACAGACAGAAACAAGATTATCTTTCTAAAGAGACTTGTCTTATTCATATAGAAGGAAGAGAGGCTGGTCCAGCATCAAAATAATGAGGGTTTACTTCTATAAGATAGTATCCTGGTTTCACTGGGATAAAATCGTAAGTCAGCCATACTATGTAGGTTGGTAGCAGTTTCAAGCCAGACAGGAGCTTAAGTTGGGAGGGGCAAAAGCCAGGGCAGCTACCCTGTGCTGGCTCACCACTGTACTCCATCCCATCAACATCACTCTCATTATAAAGGGGGAAGTTTGCTCAGGGCCAGGGCTCCTCCTCCTCTTCCTCTGAAAGGTTGCCTTCCCTGGAAGGACTTGCTGATCATTCTGCTCCCAAGGACTACTTTCCCATTTATTGTGGCCACTGTACATTCACTGGGCTGAGTACACCTTTGTATACTGTATATTGGTATTAGTATTAATACTAGTTTTGCCATTTCATTACATCTGTTCTCATTTCAATCTACAGCTTTCCTCTCCTTTTCCTGATCCTCCTTTTCAGCTGGGGAGAGGTCACTGAGTGATAGAGCATCTGCTATAGCTTAGCCCCAGATTCAGGCTAAACATAGACAGATTGAAATCTAGAGGTAAAAATAATCTGGAATAAACTGATATCAGAATCAGTCTTTGACAAAAATTTTGGATGTGTTTTAAGAGTTATTGTATTCTTACGGAAATTGGCATTAGGAAGAATCTTACTACAGGAATGGAGGGTCTGTCATCTAACCTTGTGAAAATGACTACTAAAAATATCCCAAAGGATACTAAAAGATTCAAAATGATGTAGCTCTTATTAACAGATAGTGATTCTTCCTCCTCAGTGATCCAGTTTCCTTATTAACTAACAGTCAGTCATCTAAAGACAATTTCTGCTGAGAAACCAACGTCGTTGAGAAAAAGGTAAAGGTTAATCAATCCCTCCAGAAACTGGTTCAGAAAAGATAACCATCACGTTGAGCATATAAGACTAAACTACAGAGCTTATTAAAATGTCAGGTTTAAGTGGATGGTCAAGAATAGCTGCTAGGGTAGTAAATGTACAGTGAGCACGACTTCTGTGAACAACAAAGCACAAGCTTTCTCTTTAATAAGTAAGACATAACAGGAAACAACAGAAGAGAACGTGTAGAACATTTGGAGCTAGTGACCTGAAGTCTATACTACCTGCATTTCACAAGGATTATTCTAGACTAGTGAAAAGACAACTTTAGAACAGATGGCAGCTGGAAGTTATTCAGGTAGGAAATGCAAAGGCTTTGAAGATAGTGAACATTGAGCTCAGGTTTTTTTCCAGCTCTGGAAGAGTCTTCTAGTTGTGCTTCTAAAACTGAACCAACATAGGCCTTTGGACACTAAGGTCTTCCCCAAATGAAGCAGTCAAGCCTGCTGAGAAGTAAGGCAGCAGCAGACCGCAGATTCCCTCCACTCCAATCCTGTACTCAGCAGAAGTACACAGGCATCACATTAACTAGGGAAACGTGCAAGTAACACCTGGCAGAGAAAGGGCAAGAGGAACATGGTCATAGTAGCAAACAGAAGCTTATGTGTGCATGGAAGAATAAGGTGGCAGCAAGTCTTCCAATGTCTAGTTTAATTCTTCTCTTCCTGGTTTCCAGACTGCTGAGAAATGAGGTATTTTGAAGAAACAGCAGTTTTATTATAATTCATTATACTTTAAAGTAATACTGGCGGTATGTATCAAAGGCAATGCACTGGTACTTCAGGTTTTTCCTCCCAGTTCTTTCAAAGTTCAGCTGTTTGAAAATGCAGTTAAACAAACAATCTCATATTGAAATAAATTTCACTCACATTTCTACCAAGCTGAAGAAAGGAATAACATACATATGGTATGACAGAACTATGCTGTCAAAAAGCTACATTTCTTGCTTAATGTAACTTTAGACATACAGCTCTGCGCTACAGAAATAAAGCAGCAGACAGAGCCAAAGGGCATAGTAACAATGGGTAAGCTGAAATGTGGAACTGCTGTTCATTGAATCGTACAATATAAGGACTGGAGAGTACTGAAAAATCAGAAGTCAGTTTAGCACACAAAATTTCTGTTAGAAGGGCACACAGTGAACTTTTAGAGCTTGCTGCCACATGAAGTTGTGGAAACAAAGTTTCAAAAGGGTTAAAAAATGTGAGAAGAAAAATTCATAAACAGGTCCATAACTGGGGGGAAAAAATATAGGGGGGATGGGTGGGAATCTATCTCCCATCCCTAATCTAGTAAGTGAAGATGCTGAGGAAATGCAAGCAAAATGCTGCAACAGCAACCAGGCTTATGTCATCTCTCAAAGCAACATTTTTACCAGTGTTAGAGTACTGAGAAGAATCATCCTGGAGGGCTGAAGGCATTATTGTTCATGTTTAACGACACTGTTTTCACATTGTTAGAGTTAAAAAAAAGTGCTTATACTTGCCACTGAACTGCGTATGAAGTTTGGGGCTGACTGCAAGATCATTTACCTAGTTCTAGCTTTACCTGATGGAGCATTAACAGGTCAGCATCTGTACTGCAACCTCTTCCCTTGCTCCCCAAAGTCCCCCAGAAAATTAGCATTGCCTAAGGGTAGGCTGCTTGATCTTGTACCCACAGCAAGGAGTCTTCTAACCAAAGACAGAAAGCACGTAACATCAACTGTTAACACATAGATTTTATTTCTGTATTTACAATGCTTAAAATAAGATATATCAGTATGTAGCTATTCTTAATAAATGCAAAAATAGAAAACTTCCCTTTTCAACAAAAGTGCAGAAACATAAATTAGAATAACTTTGAAACAATGTTATTTCTCAGTGTTTTTACTATGAAAACATTTATAAAACAAGCACCATAATTCATCTTACAGAAAACTTTCCATCAAAGCAGCATCACAGGGCAAAACAAGTAGGACATTAGTACAGAAATATAGTTGCAAATCTTAAAATATTTTAAATGGCATAAACTGTTATAAATTATTATAAACTGTTATAAAACTGTTCTGTCTATTTTTTTGCAATAGCTTTACCACACAGCCGAACACAAACTGAGCCATACTTGGTCGTCAGCACAACAAAGACACCTTCAAATTTTCCTTCTGCCTTTGGCTTGAACTGGACTGGTACATTGATATAATGATGGGATCTGTAAGAAGGCAATTATTCATTGTTAATAAACAAGGAAATCCTACCCGGTACAGAAATTCTCTAGTTTTGATTTTCAACAAAATATCATTCTGGATGTGCAGTGGATCATCAAGTTGATTTTTGTAGATTTGATTATCTATTATTCTTCTGAGGAAGGTTGTTCTTTCCTGCTG